AGTTCAGGTTTTGTTTTGACCTATGCCAGAGATAAAGCTGTGGGTTTTTAGCTTAAGTTTCACTTCCACAAGTCTGCATTTGGGGCCTACTTTCCTGCCTGCTGCACACAGATCCTGACAGTTTTGTGCTCAGCCAGTAAATACTTGCATTATTATTTATGTTAAATGAACAATAATGGAAATGTGTTCAGAATTGTTTCAGAGCACATGAATTGATTTCTCCAGAATCCTTTTTGTTGCTAATGCAGTGCTTCACAAGTCGATGATTGCCATTCAATATGATTTTAAGGCCTTTTGAGTTCTCTGGATTCATTAAATCTTTAAGCTCCTGAAAATCTTTGCTTAAAAAAAAATTAACGTTTATTATTAAACTGTGGAACTATTTAGTCTTTCCAATGTGGTGAAATCATGATCATTTTTATTTAGTCTAAGCCTCTCTGGCATGCTCATGTTAAACTAAAGAATGTTTTATCAATGCTCGCAGCTTGTAGACAAGTAAATGAAGGACGTTTTCCATCCGTATTTCTTAATTAGCTACTGTAGTTTTTATTGAAACAATGTGCAAGCAGCAGCATTATAGTGCAACAGTAGAGGTCAGTATAGGTGAAATGGTATGAGTCAAAGGTAGCCTAGGTCTAGTGCTTTCCCTGGACATTTTAAATAGAAGTATAACATTATTGCTTAATGCTTTAGTTTTGCAAATAGATTCAACTGGTCACTCGTCAGGAGGTGCATGACATCGTCACATAATAAAACTGAGGGTTGTTGAAGTAGCTCACTTTTTATCATTATTGGAGACTCCCTGGTGGCTGTTACTTTCAGACAAGCCCTGACGACGAGGCTTGTCTCGTCGTGCACACTTACTAGGGAGCACAAAGGCATGGTGTTGCTATAGCAACATGGCACTTGCATGTTACATAACATTTATATTGGTATTTTCATGGACAGTATAATATTGCATGACCCTAATAACTGGTGAAATGAACATGGTACATTTAGATGACTGGTACACTGGTTATGGCGGTTTAAAGTAAACTAAAGAACCCCTTCTGCACTTTACAGTGCTGTGGCTTTATGTGTTATATTATAACCACATACTTGCAGCAGAGAGAGAATCACTCACTTCCCAAAACAAGCTGGGAATGGACCTGTTGTTTTTTGTCTTTTTATAACTGTCACCATGCATGCTCACGGTATACATAGTTTCTTATACTGCATTTTTGTAATTTAAATAAATTGTTTTTAGTACAGATCTGTTTCACTGTTAAAAATTAGTACTGATACTTCACATTATGCCATTTTTAAGCATATTGGCCAATACCAGTCAGCAACTGTCCTGTCAGCTTAGGGCAGAGTTGTTGTAAAATCACATATATATGGCAAACCTTATTTATGGTCTGATTAAGGGTTGGTCACCTTACCCATTCAGGCTCTAGAATGATATTTTCAAAACAAGGGTTTTGACACTCCCTAATAGAGTGACAAAATATTTATGTTGCAAGTTGTTATCAGGATATAACTCATTTCCTTTCAGCAGAAAGACTATGAGGGTTCTTTTTTTAAACTGTTTTTCTAAACCACATAATGCAACATGCCTACAGTTTGGTTTCTTTTTCTTTATTGTTAGGCCAGAAAAATATTAAAGTGCAACCAGACATTCGTTAAAACATGCATCATGAAAATCATGCAAAACCTTAGTGTGTGGTCAAACATCAAGAAAAAAACAAGCATCATTAAAAGTTAAGAAAAAAAACTTCCTCAAATGTTTCACCGGAAGGAGATGTGGTGATAATAGTCTTTTTGCACACAATGCAGCAGCACCATTAACCTGCACACACCAACCAGACTGGACGCACAATGAAGAAGGAAGACACTATTTATACCGTGGTGGAAGTGCTCATTGCCGTTACTTGCTGTCTGGGTAACATGCTGGTAATTTTGGCCCTTTGGATCAGTAGAAACATTCAGCAGACAACCTTCTGCCTTATTGTCTCGCTGGCTGTGGCTGATTTTCTGGTAGGTTGTGTGGCAATACCATTGGCTGTAGTGGTGTATGGACAAGTGAAGACTTCATTCACGACCTGTCTCTTCATCAGCTGCGTGATCATCCTGCTGACTTTTGTTTCAGTTCTGTGCCTTGTAGCTATTGCTGTAGATCGTTTCCTTCGTGTGTGGATCCCTATCAGGTAGGATGGCCTGCATAACCACATCTTTAATTTATAAGCATTCACCATACTAATAACTTTATGACAACTTTATATAATTAAAAATAATTACAATTAGTGTGAAACTAATAGTAATTTTTTTTACTTATAGGTACAAAAGGACTGTAACACACAGACTCTCTTGTTGTGTGGTAGCAGCATGTTGGCTTGCTGCAATTCCTCTCAGCTTTACTCCTATGTTTGGATGGCACAAGAATGAAACTTTAAATTATACAACTTGCAAGTTTACAGATGTCATCCCAATGCCATACCTGGTTTATTTCAACTTTTTTCTCTGCACATTGACGCCTCTGTTGGTAATGACTGCTTTATACATCTATGTCTTTTGCACAATCAGAAGAAACCTTCGAGACAAACCAGGGAGCCATGCCCGAAATTCTTACAACTACTTAAGGAAAGAGAAACAGCTGGCGGGATCTCTGTTTCTGGTGCTGGCCTTGTTTGGCCTGTGCTGGCTCCCTCTCCACATAATGAACTGTATTCAGCACTTTGGAAATAGTGAGGTACCAAAAGAAGCTTTTAGTGTTGGAGTTGTGCTCTCTCATGCTAATTCAGCTGTCAACCCAGTTGTCTATGCATTCAAAATACAAAAAATCAAAAGAGCATATCTAAAGATCTGGAAAGAGTGCATTTCATGTGGAACAGAAAAGCAGGAATCACATATAAGCCAGACAACAGACAAGTCCAGCAGTAACGATGAAAGTCTGGCCAAAAATGAATGAAGGCTGACTTCCTTGTTTAATTCTATTTTATTAGGGATCAAATTTGATTTGCTTTTGAAATGTATGTATTAAAACCAGTGACTTGATGATTACCTTGGTGTGTGTCAGGCCTAGAACCAAATATTATATTATTTAGATACTCATATGTTTGCTAGGTATTCAGTTTTAAATTTTCATCCATCCATCTATTCTCTTATCCAATTCAGGGTCACAAGATCCCAGCTGTTATAGGGAAAGGGGTGGGAGTACCCCCTGGACAGGTTGCCAGTCTGTCACTGGGCACACTAAATATTAGTTTCTTTTAAATGTGGAAATCTAATCCATCTCAGCTTACATCCTTGGAGTCCATGTCATTTAAACTTCATTAAGGCCAACTAATTTTTTTTTTTTAATATAGCAGTTTCACTATCTAGCCATAGCTTTAAACATTGCTGTAGCTTACTGCTGAGGGTATGGCTTGCAAATAGTTGTTTTAGAGATAGCCCTAGTGTGTACTGATGTAAAACATGTGTTTCTGTCTATATTGTGTAAACTGTTGCAGAAAAAAAGGCCAACTTCCTCTTGTTTTTAAAGTTAAGTTTTTAGATAAAGTTTCATATCACTCTTTCTGTTTCTGTTTCTGTTGATATGAAGACTCTCCATTAATATCAACAGACAGTGTATTCTGTTCGGAAATTATGTTCACTGTTCTTTAAAGTGGTAGTTAAAGTAAAATAAAATGAAATTGTGTAGGGGTAACTGATGCCTGAGTTCTGACTTTTATTAAACTAAAAAGTCATTGACTTCAGAATTGAAGAATGACATTTCTTTGCCTTCAGAAACTCCTGGGTTGTGTTTGCAGTATGCTTTGAGTAATTATCCATTTGCACTGTGAAGCGCTGTTCAATCAGTTTTGCAGTAATTTGCAGTGCAGAGTATAGCATTTTTAGAGTGTGCAATTCATCATGTTATGTCTGTCAGCACTCACATCTTCAGTACCTTCAGTACCCACATCTCCAGACCTTGATAATGACACTGCTTGGCAGTAATATATTTAATTCATTAAAATGAAATGAAAATGGAGGAAAATTTATAAAATTCTTAAGCCACTGATGCGTCATTTTCGTGGAACCCCTTGAATTTAATGTTTTAGC